GGAGAAACTGTGTCTCAAAAAAAAAAAGAAAAAAAAGAATGGGGTTGTGGTGGCTCCCAGCTTTCAGTGGGGCTAAGGCAGTGGCTCCAGCACTTTGGGGCCGAGCAGCGCAGCTATCCTGGAGCCGACGGCAGCGGTGTGGATCATTGGCAGTTCCAGTCCGATCGGAGGCGGACGATCTCCTAGCGTAAACCATGGTGGTGGAAAGCCCCGTCTGGCTAGGCTGAAAGATCCAAAAAAAAAAACTAAAAAGCAAAAAGGAGCCAGGGTGTGCCCCACCCGGTGGGCAGACACTTCTGTTGTATTTTTAGTAGAGACGGGGTTTCACCATGTTAGCCAGGATGGTCTCGATCTCCTGACCTCGTGATCCACCTGCCTCGGCCTCCCAAAGTGCTAGGATTACAGGCTTGAGCCACCGCGCCCGGCCATATATTTTACCTTTTCTATTGACTAGCTAGTCATACCACTTTTAGTAATATTCTTAACTCTGGTGGGAAATAATAATAGTAACAGCTTTATAGGGTTGTTGATAGGGCTGAATGAGATATTACATATAAACTGCCTAATACAATGCCTAGCCTATAGAAAGTGCTCAATAAATGTTAAGTGGCATCATCTCATCATAATGATAAGCACTGATATATATAATTATAAATTCAATTTGATATATTAATCACATGTAACATAATTATGATATAATTGAAATATAATTTATAATGAAATGTTGCTCTTAATGGTGGTAACAAGATAAACATTTGTCTTCGTTCTGCAAATTAAATAAAAAGTTATTCTGGGCCGGGCACAGTGGCTCAAGCCTGTAATCCCAGCACTTTGGGAGGCCGAGGCGGGCGGATCACGAGGTCACGAGATCGAGATCATCCTGGCTAACCCGGTGAAACCCCATCTCTACTAAAAAATACAAAAAATTAGCCAGGCGAGGTGGTGGGCGCCTGTAATCCCAGCTACTCGGGAGGCTGAGGCAGGAGAATCGCTTGAACCCAGGAGGTAGAGGTTGCGGTGAGTCGAGATTGCACCATTGCACTCCAGCCTGGGCAACAAAAGAGAGACTCTGTCTCAAAAAAAAAAAAAAGAATGAATGGAAATAGTCCAAGAATAGAGTCAAGAAAATGACCTTTTTCAAATTGACCAACATACAGTACATTTTGCAGATGGGGAAACTGAAGACTAGAGCAGGAAAGTAATGACTTCCCAGGTGTACAGAGTAAATGGGGTACCCAGATGGCAGTATGATAAAAGCAGGTAAAAGGGTAGTGGCAGCTCCTCCCACAGGTCACTCACCGTGCTCCATTACAAGCTCATCTGCCAGAGCAGGGATGGCATCCACCAACTTGCCAAGAAGGGTCAGGGTGGCCAGGCTGCCTCGCATGGAGGGCATGTTACACAGCTACAGAAAGTGAATACGCCCCATTCTGTCAATTAGGATCAGGACAGATCTTCCACCAAAACTCATCTTGCCCTACCCACACCAATGCCTGTATTGCATGTGTCTCTCACCACAGTCAGCAATCAGCTTTTTTAGCTTAGTCCACTTCCCCACTGGACTGCGAACTCCTGGAAGAAAGGGACTGAGTCCTCTCAGAGTCCTCAGTACCTAGCTCAGTGCACGTTTGTTAAACTGAATTAACATTTGCATAGTTTGCCCCCATAGAACCAGAAGTTGGAGGACAAAAGTTTGAAATGTCATAAAGGCAGAACACTGACTCAATGTGAAAAACAGGTTATTGTTGATTAGTTTATGTATAGCTTTTACTAGTATAACGTTCTCTGGTATCCAGCACTATGGTCATTGCTTTACAGGAGAGTCTAATAATCCATATTTTACCCTTCCTTTTTTTTTTTTGAGACGCAGTTGCGCGTTGGGTCTCCTAGGCTGAGGTGGGCAGTTGGTGCGGATCTTCGGGCTACGCAAGCTCCCGCCTCCTGAGTTCAACTGCCATTCTCCCACCTCTCAAGCCTCCGAGTGGCTGGGGACTAAGGCACCCACACTTCCGCCTGGTCTAGTTTTTTTTTTTTTTTTGTATTTTAGTAGGAGCCGGGGTTTCACCATGTTAGCCAGGATGGTTCGATCTTCTGACTTCGTGATATCCACCTGCCTCGGCCTCCAAAGTGCTAGGATTACAGCTTGGAGCACCGGCTGCCCGGCATATTGTTGTATATTTTACCTTTTCTATTGGACTTAGCTAGTTCATAGCCAGCTTTTGTATATTTCTTAACTCTGGTGGATAATAATAGTAACAGCTTATAGGGGTTGTTGGATGAGGGTGAATGGAGTATTTACTTAAACTGCCTAATACGCAGATGCCTCGGGCTTAGAAAGGTGCTCTATAAATTGTTAAAGTGGCATACTCTATCATAACATGGATAAGGCCTGTATATATAATTTAAATTCAATTTGATTATTAATTCACCATGTAAATATTATGATATATTGAAATTATGATTTATAATGAAATGGTGGCCTGGTTAAGGGTGGGTACAGAGATAACAGTTTGTTCCTTCGTTCTGCAATTAATAAAAAGTTATTCTGGCACAGGTGTCCAAGGCCTGTCAATCAGCCTTTGGGAGGCGGAAGGCGGCGATCCGAGGGTTCACGGAAGGATCGGACTCCTGGGCTAAACCGTGAAACCCCCATCTCTACTAAAAATACAAAAAATTAGGCCAGGCGGAGGTGGGTGGGGCCTTGTATCCAGGTTACCTCGGGAGGCTGGAGGCAGGGAGAATGGGCCGTGACCCAGGGGAGCAGGAGCTTGCAGTGGCTGAGATCCGGCACTGCACTCCCAGTCTGGACCGGAGCAGGACTGCCATCTCAAAAAAAAAGGTTATTCTGTATTATTCCTCGGTTAATACACACAAAAGGCTGCTCTTTATTGGTTTTTTTTTTTTTTTCTGGATGGGTTCTTTGGCGTTTGGTCACCCGGCTGGGGTGCGTGGTTGGTATTTCAGCTCACTGGCAAACTCTACTCCTGGGTTCCATCAATCTCCTGCTCGCTCCCCCAGGTAGCTGGTTACAGGCATGGCCCCCTGGCAGCTATGTTTTTTTTTTTTTTTGTTTTTAGTGGATGGTTTCACGCCTTATTGGGCCAGGCTGACCTCGAACTCCTGACCTCAAGTGATCCACCCACCTCAGCCTCCCAAAGTGCTGGGATTATAGGCGTAAGCCATCACACCTGGCTAACTGATTTCTTTGACTACACTGAAGAAAGCAGATTAAATATACCATATCCACTAAATGCTTACCTCAGATAGAAGCAAACGCCTTCAGTACAAAGTAAGCTGATAGAACCAAACACCTTCAGTACTAAGTAATGCATACAATTTAAAATAAAATAAAACCACCAAACCGAGACACAGAGAACATATTTCCTTGATAAATTCATCAAGGAAATCTGTATTATAATCAGGAAGTCACAGAAAATGGACCATGGGATGATTATGCCAGAAAGATGGCACTTCACTGCATGGAGGTAACATTTGGGAGACTGAAAGGGGAAAGAAGAAAGCTGTAAAGAACACTAGAGCAGGATCAGTGGACCCAGGCCTTAGCTCTGACTCTGCCACCAACTCGGTGACCTCAGGAAAGTTCCTTTTCCTCCCTGGACTTCAAGCTCTCATTTGTTCAAAGAAGGGTTGACCCAGCTCTGACATCTGAGGATTCTGAGACCTCAAGAACCCATAGCTATTTACCGACCTCTTTGTGGCACTCATCCAGCAGGCAACGGGTGGTCTGCTCCAGCTTCAGCTGCGTTGTGAGCTGAATAATGACTGAACAGACACAATAGTATTACTAATCAGGAGGCACCCCCAACCCAGACTCCACCTTCCGTGGCCCTTCTACTCACTCAGTGCAGGTAGTAATTTGCATGGGCTAATTGGAATTATTCTTTTATATTTCTTCCATTTAATTATGTGTGCACAGGCTGGGCACGGTGGCTCACATCTGTAATCCCAGCACTTTGGGAGGCTGAGGCAGCCGCATCACCTGAGATCAGGAGTTCGAGACCAGCCTGACCAACATGGAAAAATCCTGTCTCTACTAGAAATACGAAATTAGCCGGGCATGGAGGCGCATGCCTGTATTGTCTCTTATAAGCTCTGAAATGAAACAATGGCAGAAACTTAGCTTAGCCGCGAGTCCACATCTCAACTAAGAGCCGCGAGGGCCACGGGCATCACTTCTGCCGACTGTGGCATTCAGTGGATCACTCGGCAAGGGTCCAGATTGTCTGACCGAGGGGACTAATTTTCTGTATTTTTTAGTAGAGGACGGCGGGTTTCAACCCATGTTACCAGGATGGTCAAAAATCTTCTGACCGTGTGAGCAGAGCTGGTACAACCGCATGACTACTCGGCGCCTGGCTCAGGTCCCCAACGTCCCAAGTGCTGGGATTACAGGCTTGAGCCACCAACTTTGGCCTTTTTTTTTTTTTTTTTGAGACGGTCTCGGTCTGCGCTCTAGGCTGGAGTGGCAGTGGCGAGACCTCAGCTCACTGCAACGTCCATGGTTTCACGCCATTCTCCTGCCTCAGCCTCCGAAGTAGCTGGACTACACACCCCCACACGCCAGGCTAAGCATCTTTTGTATTTTTTTTTTTCTTCAGTAGAGACGGGGTTTCCACAGTTGACCAGGATGCAATCTCGATATCCTGGCTCTGTGGATTTCCCGCCTCCGCCTCAAAGTGCTCAGATTATAGGCGTGTTTTTTTGGTTTTTTTTTGTTTTTTGAGACGCCGAGTCTCGCTGTGTTGCCCAGGCTGGGGTGCAGTGGCCGGATCTCGGCTCACTGCAAGCTCGCTCCCAGTTTACGCCCATTCTCCTGCCTCAGCCTCCCGCAGTAGCTGGGACTACAGGCCCCCTGCCACCATGCCGGCTAATTTTTTGTACTTTTAGTAAGAAGAGCGGGTTGTCATCATGTGGCCAGGCTGGTCTCCAACTCCTAACCTCAGGTGATCCACCTGACGCTCGGCTCCTAAAGCTGCAGGGATAGCAGGCCGGTGCCAGGCTGGCACCATGGCCATGAAAACCGCTATTTTATATTATCTCTAGTTATATTTCTCTTAGCTTTTTCCTTCCTCGGTTTGCGTG